CCTCCGAGATCAATTTAGCGCTCTTCATGGTGTCCCAGGGGATGGTTCGGCGCAGGACGGTGTCGTTGGTGAGCGTGGCCACCACCGTCTGCTCCTGTTCCTCCACGATGGCCTGCTCGTAGATCTCGAACTTCTCCTTCTGGCCCTTCATTTCTTCTTTCTATATAACGCGAGCTGTGTGGCGGAGGATTCCAATCAAAAATCAGCTAGCCCGCTACGATGAGCTTTCGTAGTCGTCTTCTTCAAGAGGCAAGGGGGCGAGAGCGAAGAAGCTGCGCAGGGAACACAGAAGTTGCTCGCCGTCGCCGGAATACTCTTCCCCCACTTCCGCCCCCGTCGCGTGCCCCCTTTTTTCCCGGATTTGAATACACACTTTTTAATTTTTTAAAATAACATTTTCTTCTTGGCTGGGCTTCAACAGCTTCAAGGCCATTCAAGAGCTCAGGGCCGCGATCTCCTCCTCGGTGACCTGTTGGTGCATCTGTAGGAGAAGGCAATGCTTGTTACTACGATGTTCACACCCCTGTAAGATCGATGCCCACTCTCGGGACGCAAGGCCTGGCATGCACCTACAGGTACGTACCTGTTGAGAAAGGTGGAGCCAGCCCATCCACTGCTGCGGCTGATCTGATGGATACGGGCGCGTGTCGTGATTCCAGTAGGTCCACTCTGAGAACTGGCCACCTGTACGCGATGGTTAGCGATGAATACACCACCCAATCTCTACCACTCCTGGGTACATCAGCATGGCAGTGCTTAATACACGCTGCGCCGCCAGAGGAACGATGGGGATGAGACACTACGTACTGACGTGCCACTGCTTCTCGCCGTCTGCGCCTCGCCCTGTTGCCTCCTGCAGCACCAGCCCTAAGAAACCAGAGCCAGTGCAGGCCCAATTGGGTCCACACGTCTAATGAGCAAGCAGTAGCGAAGGCGCGAGCGCAGTGAAGAGGCCAGGCGCGAGGTGTCAGTAGTACCTTGGTAGTCCGAGGGAAGGGGGAGCGTTTTGCCGCGTAGCAATCGTCCCCGGAATGATGCTCGCAGAATATCGTCGCCGGGGGCGGCGGACGCTGAAGAAGATGAAGAGGAGGTGGAGGTGGAGAGGGTGGACATGGAGCCCTCCTCCTCCTGCTTGACTCGCTCGCTTTCAACGACGAAGTAATTCTGAATGGGCGCCTCGCCCTCGTAATCGATGAGAAACGGCATGTAGTGCAGCGTCACCTCGGACGCTCGCCCCGCACTGTGCAGCTGCTGAACATTAATCTCGTTCTTCCTGCTCGAGTCGTCTCCTCTTCGCCTGCCGTCGTCTTCCTCCATGTCCGTTTGTTCTTTCTTTTATTTTTATTTTTATTTGTATTCAGAAAGGTACAGTAGGGTCCCCATGAATTATTTTCCAGCGAAATACGCTCCAGGCGCAGCTCACCAAACGCACTTTGAACTGTTGAACAACAAGGCGAACATGGAGGCACCCGTGCATGAGCGAGAAGAGTTGTTGCACGCTCTACGAGGCCTAGCAGGATCCCCTAACCCGACCACTCCGCCCCCTACGAGGTCGGTACTGTGCCACTGGCGTGTGGCGCTGGAGGCCTATCGCGCCACCACAGGCATCGGTGGCACGACCATCTGCTCCCATGCCACGTCGCCCGCGGAGCTGCTCGCCGTCATCAATCGCCCCCTGCCCTCCTCGCCGCCCGAGCTTCCCTCTCCCCAGCTCGCCGCGCGGCTGCCCAGCAGCGTGGCTCTCGGCCAGCGGTTCGCCTTCGGCCAGCTGGGCACCTGCCTCCACCGCGAGGGCCGCGGGCACCAACCGGCGGACCTGGTGGCCGACCTCCCCAGCCAGGCCAGTGCGCTCATGAACAGCCCCGGCGGCGGGACTCTCTACTGGGGCCTGCAGCAGACGCAGCAGGGCCTGGTCGTCGCGGGCATGGAGCCGCCGAGCGACAGCACCATGGCCCAGGTGGCCTACGCCCTCGGTTGCTTGTGGAGGCGGTGGAGGCCGAGCGGGACTACGCCAAGACCTACCACCGGGTCGAGAGGCCCACCGGGGAGCCAGGGCCGCTGGTGGTGGTGGCCTTCACGTTCCGGCCGCGTCCGGGCCTCACCTGTCTCGCATGCCCGCTCTTCGTCGATCGGCACGACCGTTCACACAACTTCGACGCATGGGTGCGGCAGCTCGAGGAGGAGGAAGGCGAAGAAGGAGAAGAACAAGAACCCATCGAGCCGCCCGAGTGCAGATTAAAATCGAAGTGAAGGAGGAGGTTAAGGAGGAGGAAGATGAAGAGAGGCACGAGCAAGTAAAGAACGAGTGGCCGCTGGCTCGGGACATCGCCGCGCTGCTGCGTGAGAAGCCGGACAAGTCGTGGATCACGCAGGACATCAGGCGAGCGCTCCATCAGAGGCGCGTCAACTGCTCCAAGCTCGACATCAACCGTACCCTCCACAAGAGCTCCGGAGTGTTCATCGGCCACAAGGACGGCGGCGACACTGTCTGGCGTCTCAAGTGAACGCCGTGATGTAGGAAGTGAGAAGAAGAAGAAATCAAATGTGGAGGGCAGCTAAACTCAGCGTCCTCAAACCTAGCGGTCGTGACTCTGTGCGGGCGCTCATGTTGTGTGTTGTGTGTTGTGTGTGATGTTGGAAAAATGGCGGTGGGCCTGATTTGGTAATGACGTGTGACAACTTCGGCATTCCTGGCATTCCAAAAACACGAAAACAGTCCTCTGGGCTGTTTCTGTGGAACAGAGATGTTTGATGGTTGGCTGGCCGAAAACTCGAAGATAAGCGAAGGCGACCTCTCCCCTTCCTCGGCGGGGCTCTCCAACGCCATGTGCGTCACCACCGCCACGTCCGCTACATAAAGGCCATAAGGAGCTCAATCCTTCCAGCATATCAAACCTATCTCATCACCACCTGCACACCAGCGGCCTCTATCCCACACCCCCGCACCACAGCACACATTACACCCATCACCAACATTAACATCAACATGAAGGCCCAAGCTCTTCTAGCCGCGTGTCTGCTCGCCACCTTCTTCTGCTTCTTGTGTTCCCCAGCAACAGCCCAAGACATCAATGCCACCTCCAACGTCGTGAAGGCCACGGGCACTGGTAGGCCAACCCGCGGCTGTTGATGTGCATTCACTCACCGGGGGGGGGGTGCAGGCAAGGTCACAATCGAGGCCGGCGTGGCCCAGGTCGAGCTGGGCGTGCAGGTGGACGCCCCCAACGCCAGCCAGGCGCAGGCCCAAGCCGCCAACTCGGCTCAGGCCATCGTCTCCACCCTCCAAGGCCTCAACGTACGTCGATCATGTTTCGATCGTTTTGCAAACTCCCAGAGCTGCATCATCTTCAACTTCTACTACTCCACTATAACAGGTGTCGAAGCTGCAGACGAGCAGCGTCTCGTTGATGCAGATCAACTTCCCCACGCCCTCGCCAAGCCCCATCCCCTTGGACAGCTCGTCGGCCGCGAGCGGTGGTGGCCAGAGCGAGGACGACATCGTCTTCCGCGCCTCCAACACGGTGAGCTTCGAGGTCGCGGCCGACCAGGCCGGCGCGGCCATCGACGCCGCCGTGGGCGCCGGGGCCAACACCATCCGCTCAGTCTCGCTCGTTCCCTCCGAGGCCGCGGTGACGGCGGCGCAGCAGCAGGCGACCCGACTGGCCGTGGCCAACGCGATCGCCTACGGGCGGCTCATCCTCGGCGAGCTCGGCTGCCAGGCCGTCGGCGTGGGCGCCGTCACCCTCACGCCGCTCTACGCGCCCATGTCCTCCTCCGTCCGCAGTACCTTCACCCACCGTCGTGTCGTGTGTGTCGTGTGTCGTGTCTGTGCTGACGATGATTGTGGCGTGGCGTGGCGTGGCGTGGCGTGACTGCAGCGGCGGGGGTGACGGCGGATTCGGCGACGACGCCGGTGCTGAGCGGGGAGGTGGACATCTCGGCCACGGTGGAGGTGAACCTTCTGCAGAGCTGCCCCGGGTCCGCCATCGACGCCATCAACAACGCCAACACCAACGCCACCGCCGCAACCTAAGCTGTCGAACTGTCAACAAGCTCGAGAGAAGCTGCTCTCAAGAGCGAGCGATCGTCATCATGTTCATACTGAAACGAAATAAGAATAAAATAATAGTTGGGAGAACGTCGCCCGGGTTTGGTCGTGGATGCGGTCACGCGTCGGCCTTGTCCTTTTCCTTGTCCTCCTTCTTCTTGGCGGCCGCTGCCTTCTGCTGCTGCTGTTGGGCCTTCTTGTCGCCGTCCTTGGCGCTCTGTGCGGCCGCCGCTTCCTGCGTCTGCTGCACCACAAACTTGAGGATGTTGTTTTCCTCCGTGACCAGCTCGTCTTCTCCTAACTACTCGCGCGACACACACACGAAACACATGACACACACACGCACACGACACGACACACAGCGTAAGAAACAAAGAGAGAATCAGGTGCATGGTTTTTTGAGGCGATGGCAAGAGTAGCGCGTACTCGCTGTCCGGAGAGGCCTTCGGCGTAGGCGAAGAACTGTTCCATCTGGTGGTCGACCATGCGAGCAAACTCTCGGATGGTGGTGCCCGGTGGCGCCAGCAGGCAGTCGCGGAACACACCTCCGCTTCTGCATAAGATCCACGACATGATACGACACGACACGACACGAACGACACGACACACGCATCATATGGTGAGCAGAGAGAGAGAGAGAGAAGAAGAAGAGAAGAAGAAGAAGAAAAGCGAGAAAAGAACGAACCTGTCGCTGGTGAATTTGTTGAGGTTGCGGACCGGGTAGACGGGGATGTAGCCCTTCACGTCCACCGCCTTCTTGATGGCGTCCTGCACTCCGGTGGCGCCGTATCGGAACAGCACCAGGTCCCTGATCTTCTCCAACCTATGGGTGCGCAGGAAGGAATGTAAAACAGTCCAATCAGGCTTGATCGTGCTGCGAGGGGCTGGCTTCGGTCGAAAGGTGGGCCTGGGCGTACGTCTTGAGCGCCTTGGGATCGGCCTCGCGCAGGCCGTCGGCGCCCTCGGGCCACTCCTCCTTGGGCAGGTCGGCCAGGTCCTTGGTGGTCGTGAAGTCGCTGCCGCCGTCCTCGTAGAGGACCATGTTGGCCTTCCGCATCTTCTTCAGGAAGCACTCTGCCAGCGCACTCGCCAAAATAATGTGACCCTGACGACACGACACACACAGCACCACACGACACACGACACACGACACACGTGGTAAGGAGCGTGAATGAACAAGTCGGGGAGGGGAGGTGAGTGTCCGTACATCGCCGTATTTGTCGCAGATGCGGAGCACGTTGGCGTCGGCTCCGGGCGAGTCGATCTTGTTGAGGACGTAGATGGTGGGGAAGCGGACCTTCATGAACATGTCCACGAGCTCGTGAACCCGCTTCGAGTCCCTGTAAAGAGAAGGGTGAGCGCACGACGTCGTGAGTCCACAAAGAAGAAGGCGAACGCACCACTTCTCCATTTCCGAGGGCTCCTTGACGCCCATGCGGTCCAGGACTTCTTGGATCTGGACGAGCCGCGAGCCGTAGCCGGAAAGCTGCGCCTGAAGTGTGGCCGATGACGTGCTCTCTGCCAAAGTGGGCGACCCACGAGTGAACGATGACAACCAACATCGGCGTAAGACTCTGACAATATTCACAAAACATACGACGTTGGGCCACCATGGCACGTACTCGTGGCGACATGTCGGCGTGTGATGTTGGGCCATCGATTCCACAGGTTGTTGAAAATCCAACTGCACACCGAACGTTGTGAATGAGCATTAGCACAAGCACACACTCTGAATCTCAAACCCATTATTGATTGGTCTTTTCGGAGCGGGAGCAGTGGTACGCATGGATTTCGCTGTCGAGCCACTCGATGTCGTTGATCGGGTCATAGCCTTTTGTCGCCTCTCCCTGCGTGTGCGCGAGGTGTGTGATCAATCGATCAACCAACCAACCAACCAACCATCATTGGCGCTTCGCACGGGAGAGGTTGGACCACCAAACCAAACCAAACCAAACCAAACCTTTTCGTTCGTGGTCCCGGAGACGTCGATGATGTGCAGCAGAATGTCGGCTTGTCGCAGATCATCCAGGAACTTGTTGCCCAGGCCCTTGCCCTCCGACGCGCCTGCAGGTTCGCACGAACGCGAGTTGGTTGGTTGGTCACGCGCCACATCGATCCGCAAATGAAGGGCGGACAGGGTGAGTACCGGGCACCAGGCCGGCGACGTCGAGCATCTTGACCGGAATGAATCGCGTTCCGCTGACGCATCGACCGTATCGCGGGCGGCACTGGTCCGATTTATCGAATCTGCAACAAGCCAAAGCCAAAGATGTGTGAGCCGTAGGTGCAGTGCAGGCCACGCGCGCGCTACAATCCTGGCTTTGAAGCTGAAAGAGTGGTACCTGGCGCATGGGCAGGGCGACTAAGCTCACACATGGAAACGCGGCGGTAGTAGTCAGAGAAGTGGCCAACGTTGACACAGCAGACATCGCGTAGCACACAAAGAGAGGGCAAGGAGAAGAGAAGAGAACGCTACCTGGAAGTACGTGACGCCCACGTTGGGTTCTGGCCAGGCGAAACAGTGTTTGGATTAAATGAAATGTAAAATAATAATAATCGTTCAACAAAAGTTGTAGAAGGTACCGATGGTCGTGAACGGGTAGGAGCCTGAAATTGTGGCCGTAGCAGAAGATGAAGGTTAATCTCACGATGAAGCGAACAAATTGGAGGATGGAACGCACCTATCTTGGCCTGAGCGTCGGTACTGGCGTTCAGAAATGAGCTCTTGCCGGCCGACGGCTTCCCCACGCACCCTATCAGCAGTTCATGACGCGAACCCATACCTCTGCCTTGCACACAACAAATCTGGATCGATTGAGATTTGAAATCGATCGATTTATTATTTATTTATTTTGCCAAAGAAATCCAGGAACTGGAGTTGGGAAAATAAGAAGGAAGAGAAAAAGAAACGAGAAAAGGCAGATATAAAGATAAATAAAAAATAAATAAAACGAAAGAAGAGGAGCCAAAGAAGACTGCTGACGAAAGGGAAAGGCGTTCCTGCCAAAGTGACGCTCTCTGTGGATTGATATTTTGCTTCTGCGCGAAAGGAGATTATTAGGGTCATTTCCGATATAAATGGATTTTTCGATGATGGACGTAAGTGGAGAGGTGGCCTTGCCGAAGCCCCACGGGACACCCGCTGCCACCACCACTACAACGTCGACGGCCAGGCGGCTGGTGGACTTCTTCGCCGTGCTGCCGCCCGAGCTGGCGCTGTACGTGGTCTCCTTCTTGGGCCACCACGAGCTGTGCATGCTCGCCCGGGTGTGCCACCTGTGCCGCGGCCTCAGCTACGACGACGAGGTACGACCCGCCCGACCGCACACACGCACCGCACACGTGTGCGCACACGCAGGCTGATGGGGGTATGATGGGGCGTGGGGCGGTCTGCGCACACAGAACTGGCGGCAGCTCTACATTCGGACGTGGGCGCTACGCAGCACCAGTCGCGCCGAGGTGCAGCTGCCCCTGTGCGGGAGCTGTACATCGTGGCGAACACTCTTCAGGTTCACCTTCTTTGTTGTGCCACACTGGTCACTTCCTATTTACATCATTTTGTGTGTTGTGTGTTGTGTGTGTTGTGTGTGTTGTGTGTTGTGTGATGTGTATCTCCACGGTGCAGAGATCGCAAGATGCTCGAGTGGGAATATTGCTCGATCGATGTCAACGCGAAAGACGAGGAGGAGGAGCAAGGAGGAGGAGGACAGGAGGAGAAGACTGCTGCCGGCAGCGACGGCGACGGCGACGGCGACCCGAACGATGATACGGACACGGCGATGGACACGGACACCACGGGCACGGAGGCAGAGAAGGCGCACACGAAGACGCCTCCGCCGCCCAGGTCACCAATACAAGTGCTCGGCAGGGGCAAGTACAAGGACAAGAAGCTGATCATTCCAGCCACCGCGCGGTCCGTCGATCCACACACACACACACACACACACACGGCTGCGCGCACACACAGTGTCGATCTCTGTGGTGTGTGGCTCATAGTGGGCGCACTGGGGTTGGTGATGGTGTGTTCAACGCAGGAAATGGCTGTCGTGGGGCCACATCCTCCAGAAGAAGGTCGACGAGCTGCGCAACCAGCGGATGGAGGAAAAGAAGGCGGGCGCGGAGCGAACGGTCGAATACTTGAAGGTACCCCATGGCCCCGGCCCGCAGGGATCACTCCAGAAAGAGAGCGCACAAGGGCCAGTGCTCACGAAGACCACGACACGACACGACACGACACACCCCGACACACCAGCAAAAAAGTCGGTTTCACGAGACGGTCACCCGATTGCTGGTGATTGCGTGCGAGGAGTATGCCTCGGCGGCCAGCGTGGCCTCTACGTCACCCAAGGACGACACGACACTCAGCAGTACCACCACCCACGCCACTCCACTCCACTTTCTTCGTTGGTCACCTGCCGGCGCCAATCAATCACTCAATTCCACTTCAACACAGCCCTCTATGTGTCGACCAATAATTGGGGCATTTCGCTGACGGAGCTGGCGAGGATGAAGCACGGACCCGTAGCTGACATGTACCGCCACCCTCGTCTCCCAACTCATCCATGCCTCTCCCTCCATAATCGATAACACACACACACCACACGCACACACACACACACAACACACACACACGCACACACACACACCACAGGCTCTTTCTGCGTGCCTACGCCAAGCTGGCGCAGACGGCGGAGCTGCGGCGCGGGTGCGGCGACCTGTGGTGGGTGCTGAGCGAGTGGGCCGTCACGCTGCGCGCACACGCCGCACGCAAGATGGCCGAGGGCAGCTCTCTGCTGGTCGCCACCGCCCAGGGCACCGACTACGCCTCGGTCGACAACCTGTTCGAGCAATCGTGCAAGAAGCTGGCCGAGGCCCACGCCCTCTACCCCACCGATTCCCAGGTCCGTACAACTACGTTGACCCCATTTCGTACAAATGCTGAGCGTGCTGTGTGCGGTGTGTGCGGTGTGTGCGTGCGTGTGTGTGTCACAGATTTTGAGCGAGTGGGGAGATGGATTGTCGGAGCACGCCACCAGCAAGATAGCGGCGACGGCCAAATCCAGGAAGGTGCTCAGCCCCGCACAGCTCGAACAAGGTCCGTCCATCCGTCCGTCTTCAAGACTTCCCCTCCAGTCCTGTGAAGCTCTAGACCTGACGTGGTGGTGGTGGTGGTGGTGGGTGGTGGTGGTGGTGCATACATCTGCAGCCCAGAGCCTCTTTCGGGAGTCCTACGGCAAGTACGAGGACTCGCTGAGCCTGTCGCAAATGGACCTCGACCGGTACCGCCCCCGCCCCCGCCCCACACCCACCCTTGTTGTGTCAGTGGCGCCCATGAATTGAACGGCGTGGGAATGTCACCAGGGACATCGTGCTGAGCAACTACGGGCTGGCACTCAGCGACCACGCCATGGTCGCCGAACCGGCCGAGTCAAAGGTACACACCTTACCGCGCCCGCCTGTCCAGTTGCCCCCGTTTCTGACTCGGTTGGTCCTGTGCACAGGACTTGTTCGCGCGATCGTACGAAAAGTACCGGCTTGCGGCGTCCCTCAAGCCCGACAATGTCCTCACCCAATGCAACCTTGCCATGTACACCACCACCCACCACCCAAACGCACCCATCAATCAGATCTGATTCACGCGTTTGCTTATATCATTCGCGTTGTAGGACGTACGTGCTGCATTCGTGTACCCTTGCGGACGCGGCCGAGAGGGAACAGCTGTGGGCCAGCGCCGAAGAAATTCTCAACGTGCATACGCCTTGTGTGTCGTGTGTCGTGTGTCGTGTGTCGTGTGTCGTGTGTCGTGTGTCGTGCTGACAGCACTCAACAACAGACGCAAGTCCTGAAGAATGACTACTGGACCTACTTCTGCATGGCCCGGCTCGCCTCTGTTCGCGGACACGAGGCGGCGTGCCAGGCGTGGCTGGAAAAGTGCGCGAAGAAGAACTACCTCGCCAAGCGGACCAAGTGGTTCTGCGTCCACTTTGCCAACGTCAAGCGAGCGCCCTGGTTCCGGGCCATGAAGCAGGCCCAGACCGGCGAGAGGACGCGGGAGCGGGAGGTACTGGCCAACCTCTTCGCCCAGCAAGAAGAAGAAGCCCAGGCCTAGCCCAACGAAAAAGTGTAACAACTTTTTATGTTGTACAAAAAATAAAAAAAAATAAAAAAAATCAACGTGTGGTGTAGATGAAGAAGTGGAGCGCGTCGTCGTTGCCGCGATTGGGGATCACCCACTTGCGGCCGCTCATCCCCTCCTCCTCCATCGCCTCTTCGAATCGTGCCACCCCCTTGCGCATACCAACCACAGACCAGAATGTGGGGTGGGTCAGGACTACAACACGGTGCGGGATGGGGTGAGCGAGAGGTACCATGCGCATCGCCGGGAGGAGGATGACGGCCACGCCGTGCTGAGGGTGGAGGAAGGAGCGGATCACCCGCGGCACCGACGTGGCTGCAGTGAGATCGTACACCACGTCCGACCCGATGACCACGTCCGCCTTGCCCTCGCCCATCTGCAGATCGTCAGACGTTAGCGTGTGTGCGGTGCGTGTGTGCGGTGCGTGTGTGCGGTGCGTGTGTGCGGTGCGTGTGTGCGGTGCGTGTGTGCGGTGCGCACGGTGCGTGCGATGTAAGTGCCGCGTACCTGAGGATAGGTGGCGGGGTCGGTCCAGTCTAGGCGATGGACAGTGACGGCATCGCTTGCGAGCCGGCCTTCATTTTGTCCGTTGTAGACGGCCAGGTTGTGTCGAATGTTATCCAGCACCTGCACGCACGCACACACACAACAGCCAAGAGTGAGAGTGGTGTGAGACGAATCAACATTTGCGGTTAAAGCGCACCTCGTCGATGTAGTCGGTGATGAACACCTTCGAGGCAAAGTGGGCCATCACCAGGCCCGCCAGCCCACAGCCACTACACATTCACACGCACGCAGGCCACGCCACATCAGCCCAACGGAGAGCGGAGAAGAGGCCGATTGGGGTCGCCGCACCTGCCCAACTCGAGCACGGACTTGCCGCGGAACACGTCGCGGTGTCGGTAGATGAACGAGGAGAGCAGGAGGCCCGAGTCCCACACCTTCCAGGCCAGCCCCACCTGCGTGTAGCGCAGCTGCCTGACGTCGATGCTGATCTGTGCATCTCGGTCGGCCCCACTGTCGCTGTCGCCGTCGCCGTCGCCGAAGCGGAAGGTCTTGACTCGGTCTCTGCCCTTCAGGGCCGAGAGCTTGGGCACCATTTCCCCCGCCAGCCTACTGCACGGCGATGACACGACACACACGGCACACACACACACACGGCACGAGTGTGAGATTGTGGCTGGGCCAGGCAGGCCACAAAGAGGACTGACCGGTTGATGATGATTGGTATTCTACCTGGTGGTCTGGTCTGTGGCAGGGTCGTTGGCGATCTGGACGAGACGTCGGCGGAGGTCCATCGACTCCCAGGCTTCCAGATGGTCGTCTGCTCTCCCCCACCGGCAGCGAAACATAAGCCGACACGCACACACCGCACACACCGCACACACCGCACACCGCACACACCGCACACACCACACACACCACACACGCAACTGGTTGTACGATGTACCATGTGAAGAGAGGAGCGAGGCGACTGCGACTAGATCGGCCACCGCGGGCGATTCGCTGTCGCCCGAACCGCTGGCGAGACCGGAGACCAGAAGCAACTCGGCCAGCCGCTCCGCCACCGTGTTGGGCACCGCCTCCACTCTGCACCCAGCCCGCCACCGCCGCCGCCACGTCAGAACACCACACGGGTCAGATGTAACGATCGGGTGCCGCACCTTACAGCCTGCGAGGACAGCAGTGAAGCCAAACGCCGCACGGCCTCGGCCTGCTCCTGCGCACGTACGCCGTCAAGCCGCTGTGCACAGCGCACGTGTACACGCGATGGGGCAGGGTGGGGGCAGTGCCTGGGCGAGGGACGAGTGGAGCGCGGTCTCGACCTCGGTGACGTCGCGCAGCTCCGCGCCTTCCACCACCACTGCCACCACCACCCACCACGTGTGCCGCCGGGCATCGTCAGCACATGTGCAGCCACAGGCCCGAGGGGGGCGGAGCTGGCGGCTACGGAGGTCATGTGTGCAGTGCGTACCAAAGGACCGGCAGAAGGGAGGAAGGGCCAGCAGGTGGCTCACCTCCACGCCCCCACCAAACTGCGCCACCGCCGCCTCCAGCTTCTGCTCCGGGTCCATCGCCACGCCAACAAAAAAACAACAAACAAAAAAGAAAGTGCTCTTTTTATTAAGAGGGCGGTCGACATCAGCATTCCTCTTCTTTCGCTTTTTGGTAACTCCGTGGAGATTTGGGACCTAGCCAATGACAAGCTTGTCACAGCGTGCCGGAAATACCTCATTAACTCCGTAAGTCCGAGCGATTGGGCCAATCGACCATGGGGCACGTTGTCACGTGACGAAGCGGTGGCCGGTTATTTGGCGGTACCTTCTTTTGGACAGTCTGTGCCGCGTGACCAGCTGCGGTTCTGTGGGGATACGAACACCATCACCAACCGTTGAGGCAAGCGCGCTCCTCTCGTGCGTGCTGCGGGCGGCGCCCTGGGCTTCGGCAGATCTTCGCGAGCGGCGCGCACGACTTCGGGACCGCCGACGAGGCACTTTTTGCTGTGTGGCTCGGCTGTGGTGCGGCAGACGCCGTAGCCAACCACGGAATGGGTGTGTTGTTGGCAGGCAGTAAAAAGGGAAAGGTCAGGCGCATTGGGACGGAGTCGGAGTAAACATCGGCCAATCTGCGGCTTGACACGATGTGGCACTGCTCTTTTATGCCGACTTTTGTGTCTTTGGGGGGTGGGAAAGTAGGGACAACATCAAGCCCATCAACGCGGAGGATAAAACCGGTCGGACCGACCCACCACACTTTCCGCGCGCCTCTTGCACAGCCAGCAGATAGCCCCCCTATCCTCTCCTTTTCCTCACTGGTCCCGTCACCGCTTCAACTTCGCCACCCACACTTATCCACGGACCGGTCGCTCCAACACTTCACCACCTTCTATCCTCACTTCACGTTTGATCGATACCCCTCACTCGAGCCCGACGAGCCTTATCCCATCTATCGATAGTCAGTTAGCGACCTCTTTCTTCCAACCCACCACCGACGTTGAAAAGAACGAAAAGCGAAGCGAAGAGCGACGACGAAAGCGAAGCGAGAGTGAAGGCGACGAACTGCTGACTCGAGGAGAGCGAGAGAACCGGACTCGGCCAACTACCAAGCGTCCCGCAGAAGATGGAGATTTGTCGCTTCCCCGTCGTGCAGAAGCCGCTCGAGCGTGTCCCTCTGCCGCCTCGCGTGAGGAGCAACTCGATGTCGCGCACGCTTCCCTCGTCGCCCAGCCTGGAGGAGCTCCTGGCAACCGACGACGGTCTCATCGAGATGAACGACGCCTTTGGCAAGAAGGCCGAGAGCTCCAGGCCTACCTCGCCGTCCACCAACTCTTCGGCACCTATGGCGACCAAGGTAACCAAGGTGGTCCACAGGAACATCAAGATGAAGGTGGATCCTTCTACGTCGACCACCACCGCGATCCTTCCGTCGCCGTCTTCGCCTGGCGGCGTTGGCTCCTTCATCCCTTTGCCTCTGCCTTCGATCGTGCCGCTCCACCACCAGGCCAACCATCCTTTCATCGTGTGTCCTCCTCTCTCTTCCTCTACTCTCTCCTCGTCCGCCCCTTCTCCTTCCTCCCCCTCGTCGACGTCGATGCCCACGACTCGCCAGGCGCCCTTCTTCGTACCCGTCTCTGCTGGAGGAAGCCCTGCCCTCATGGATCCCCACATCCTCCACGGCCACCAACTCTCGAGATCGGCGAGCGCCTCGCCTGTGCCTGGGTCAACTGGCGACCAAGCCAAGAAGAGCGCCGTACGTTCTCGATCTTGGCCGCGCTACTCGCATTTCGTTTTACTCTGGCAATGGCAATCGACATGAGGAATTGACGTTTGGATGATTTACGCACACGCCAGGACTCGAAGAAGAGGCCTCGCTCTGCATCGACGCCTTCGGGATCGAACAGCGAGGGCTCATCCTCGGCCGCGCGTTCTAAGAGGAAGAGGAAGACGCCCGAGCAGCTCGCCCTCCTCGAGAAGGAATTCGAGACCAATCCGATGCCCAACAAGGACGTGCGAGAGCATTTGAGCCAGAATCTCGGTCTCACCAGCCGCCAGGTCCAGATTTGGTTCCAGAACAAGAGGGCCAAGGTCAAGAACAACCGCGTGAGCGTTCCTGGCGGTTCCCAGTCGCCCGAGGAGGCCTCTTCGCCCGAGGGCTCGCCCTCGATGAACTCGCCTCTGATGATGGATTCGCCATCTTCGTCTTCGTCTTCGACGTCCTCGTCTTTCTCCCTCTCATCTTCGGTCTCCTCTTCCCTTTCTTCGTCCTACCCGGCGCCGTCGTCTCCTTCGGCCTTCCAGCAGTTCAGCTCCATCGACAGCTTCTTCGAGCCTTCCTACTTCGACCTCCTTCTCGACGCCCCCAGCTACGGCGGCAACTCTGCCGACTTCCTCCTTCAACAGCAGACCGTCTGAGCGACAACCTACTCCTCCTATCTTCATCTCATCCTCTCTCTCGCTCTCTCCTGGCCGCGACCTTCACCCGACCAACAAGAACCTCATCGGCCTGAGCCACACTACACTTCACCAACCGTCACGAGAGTCTTGTACACTACTACTCCCTGTTCTATTTATCGATCGTCCTTCGTCGCCTTCTGCAACCAGCCAGCTGCGCCTCTTCAACTGCGAGGAGAGGGTATCAAGCGTAGAAGACGAAGACCTTCGTCCACTTGTACACTACGCCGTGTGTTGGGACCTAAAATAAAACCACTCCATGGCACCAGATCTCGTGTGCGACGCGTGTGGGCAATCCTGGCACATCGGCTCAGGCGGAGTAGCCGAGTCAACCAGATGGACCCGTGGTGGTTGGCGAGCGAGTCAAGAAGAAACGTTGTGGTCACAACGAAGGAGAAAGTAGCTGGCTAAGCAAGCAACGTTGGTTGTTGATGGGTAGCAGAAAACAAGAAAGAGCTGAACGTCTGCCAGGACAGGGCGTGACACTTACAAGTACCCCGATCCACAGCCACCTTTCTCCTCCTCCTCCTTTCGCTACCCGACCATCGATCAGCGTGCTTGCGTGTTACTGAGTCGCTTCTTGGCGGGTCTCGCTCACTTCTTCTCCTTCTTGTTGGCGCCCTCTTCCGTCTTCTTGGGCTCCTTCTCCTTGCTATCGGCCTTCTCCCCCTTCTTCTCCTTGTCCTCTTCCTTGTCCACCTTTTTCGTGCCCACCTCGGCAGCCCGCAGGGATTGCTGGAGTTGATCAAGACAGAGAGAGCAAAGAGAGGAGCGAACCGTCAGAACAGAGCGAAATTGGAGAGAGCGAGAGAAGCACAACGACGAGCAATGTTACCTTGTTGTTGATGAGGTTGTGGAGAGCGATGATGGACCTGATGAGCGAGGAGAGGTAGATGACCATCATCATGTCGTTCGTCTTGACGGCGAAGCTGCGGATCATTTCCTCGACGTTGAGGTTGGGGAGCAGGTTGAAGATGTCCTGAAGCTGGCCCACGATCTTCTGGTTGATGGGCAGCTTGCCCTCGCACACGTTGTTCAGGTAGGCCTGCACCTCCTTCAGATGCTCCACCAGGCTCTTGAGCGCGAGCAGCTTGGCGTTCACGTTCGAGCCCATGGTGCTCACCGACGGGTCGTGGATGTCCCGCAGCAGGTGCTCCACGCCGACCTCCTCCGCCTCCACGGCGCCCACCTCAGAGGGAATGTGCTGGAACGCCATCTTCGACTCCGTGCCATCCTACATCAGAGCACAAAGCAACGGCCGCGTCAGAGCCGATAGCTGCATTCTCGCCCCTGTCAACGCCGCACAGCCGCTGCGCCCACAACCACGCGCGCAAGAGGGAAGAGAGGCGATGCGATACCTTGGAGACTTCCTCCACGGTGAGATAGGCCTTCGTGGGAAGACCGATTTCTGTGGGCTTCACGTTGATGATGACGAGGACAGGGTTGGGGGTGTATCTCCTGAACAGCTCGTGGATGTCAAGATCGGCGGGCCTGATCTTGGGGCCAGTGCTGTACCAACCCACGACTCGTTCCTTGGCTGTGCCACAGTGCAAGATGATGAGCGATGAGCTCCCCCCAAGTTTAAGTGGAAGATCGCGTACCGTGAACCTTCTTGAACATGGCAAACATGTTTTCGTGGTAGTTGTGATCAACAAACCAGATCTTGGGGTTGCGCGGGTCCTCCTCGAAGGGCACTAGTGAAATTAACGAAATTGGAAGATGAATCCTTCAATCCTTCACTGAGCTCCCCCCCACGGCTATAGATCTATAGATCGGACTGCGTGCGCACCTGCATAGCTGTTGGTGATATCAACGACACCCTTGTTGGTCTCGCCCAGCAGCACGCCCACGACGCGCTTCTTTGTGTCCTTGGCCACGCGATTGTAGTGGTCCACTACGCTGAGCAGTACGAGTGGGTGCACTACCACGGTGTTGATGGCGGCCGGCTTAGCAGTTGATCCCATTTTGGTGTGTATTCGTTTCTCTTTGATCTCCTTCTCTCTACGTGTTTCGTTTCCTCCAGCCAGGCTTTGCCAGCGAGGGTTTGTTTGGCAGCCTTGGCCCAAGAAAATACCAGACAGAAAATGGTTGGCATTCTTCACATTCCTCCACCACAGACACGTGCAGCTCCATCCTCTTGTGTAGCTGTGTCTCACAGCAGCCTGCTTGGCTGTTGTAGATATCATCCACTAGTTGAACAGCTTGGCCACCTTGATTCCTCTCCACGTTGTCTCCTCCCGCTGTCAGCTTTGATTTCCTATTTTTTTTTTTTTTTTAACGGGCCTCTTCCCTTCCCGCCAAAACGTGCTTCATGTTTGGCGTGGCGTTTTCATCTGTTGGACATCAAACATTAGGCACTAAATGCTCGACGCGGACGTGGAAAAAGCGCTCGAGGATGAGTTCCTGGGTGGGGGTGGAATGGAGATGGGCGAGGACTACTTTTCGGCACGAAGGCGGACGACAGGCTTGGATGAAGTCAAACGATTCCTTCAGTCTGGTGACCCTGCCGCCCCGATTGACCTCAGCTCGGGTGCCAAGCGGGCCATCTCGAAGAATCGCGCATCGCTCTCCGCAGGAGCCTACTCATCGCCCGTAGCACGGCAAATCTCCCCCTCGTCTTCATCGTCATCTTCATCTTCATCTTCCGCAGTCGGAACCGACGATCTGCCCTTCCATGAGCGCATGGCCGAGGCCAGGCGGCAGTACCAGAAGCTCACTCGGGAGAGAAATGCACCCAAGCAGCAGTCGTGGGCCAACAACAGTCATCATGGCGGTGTTCAAAGCAAGCGCCCTGCCCGCACCAACCTGGCGCGTAGCTACACCTTCCAGGCCGTCGGTCGCCCCACGGCCACGGCCGGTGGTGCGCCGGCAGCCAAGATGGAGGAGCCCACCACCGATGATGTGGCGTGCGAGCTGGAGGTGAAGGAGGCGGGCATGGTCGTGAAAGAGGAGCAGGCACCATTGGCGATGAATGGGAAAAGGCGGAAGATGGTGCCAAGCGATGATGGTGACGAAGGGAAGAGCGGGGAGGAAAAGGTGAGCTCCTCGGCCATCGATCAAGGAGAGACAGCACACGGCGGCGATGAAGCCACCGGGATGGACGAAGCCGAGAAAGAGGAAGAGGAAGTCGCGGATGGTACGCAAGGCACGCGACAAAACGGGGGTGAAGACGCGACCGAGAGCAAAGAGCGTGTGCGTAAGATCGTCAAGGGCGCGCGACACGGCAAGACGCAGACGCCTCGCGAGAAGTACTCGCTGCTGCGGATCGAGTACGCCCAACCAACCAACCGCGTGCACTCTCCACGTGTGGGGCCCAATGGGGTGGTCGCGCCTGTGTTCGCTCTAGCTGACCTCCGACGACATGGGCTGTTGATCGACCACAGGGGCGGCGTCGAGGAGAGCGTGATGGCGGGCTACATGGAGGACAAGAAGATCGTCCACCTGGCCGACATCATGCGCCACCGCCGAGCCGATGGCTTCAAGAACATCTCAGGCAACTGGTAACCCTCCCTCCTGCCTCTTTTTTTCTTGAGTGTCGGGCTACGAGGACTCAACCGCTCCATCTTCGTTCTCCCCGCCAGGGTCACGTTCGGCATCTTGGTCGCCAAGTCTGCGGTCCGCGAGGCCAACAAGGGCAACTCCAAGTGCGCTCACACATTCCTTCATGCGCGGTCTGTGTTGGCGCAGTGGTAGGGTGACGTCAGCTGTTCTCACCTCCCCCACTACTCCCTCGGTCGGTTCGTGCACGATAGATACATGGCGTGGGACTTGGCGGACCTCCAGGGCAACATGATCTCGCTGTTCCTGTTCGGCGAGGCCGCGGTCCGCTTTGCCGGCGAGACGCAGGCCGACGTGTTCGCCCTCTTGAATCCCGAGATCATCGACGCTCGCGGGGTACCGACCCACTTCCTTCCCCCTCTTTCATTTCCCTCTTGCATGCACTCTCTTCGGAGCGATTGTTGACGGTCGCTTCAACAACCCAACACACCACTCGCCACAGGGAATGAGCCTCGCGCTGACCGTCACTGAGGTGCGCTTCCCTCTCCTCTTCCCCCTTTGTGACCATTCTCACCACCTTGCCCACCGGGGAAAAACAAATGCAGGCCACGCAAGTGATGAGGTTGGGCAAGGCGGTCGACTTTGGCATCTGCTCGTCCGTGGAAGACGGCAATCCCTGCACTGCCGTCGTCGACACGTACTGATCCCCTCCCTTCCCGCTGTTCTTTTGTCATTCAACTCATCCAGTCTACCACCTCTTCATTCATGAATGCTTCTCGCCTTAGCTCGGTGCGCAAGCGCTGTATTTACCACATGCAGAGCGAGTACGGCAAGGTTCGGTCGAGCCGAGGCGAACTCAACAGTGTGATCTCTTCGCCCGCCTCTCGTACGGCCCCGCCCCTCTACAGACCGCGTGTGTCCGGTCGAGCGCTTATCAGTGCACTCCCCACGTGGCAGGTACGACGCTCAAGGATGCGAAGGCGCGAGCGCAGAACAATATGTCGCGGGCCATATTCTACATCGACGGCCTCGAGCTGCAGCCACTGGCCTACACTGCGTCGATGGCCCAGCGGCGACACGCCTTCAAGCAGGGCAAGGACGACAGCGGCTCCGAGCTCCTGGCCTCGCCCGAGATCAGGTAACCAAATTGTGCCGCACACGCACACGCACACGCACACGCACACGCACACGCACACGCACACGCACCACCACATCGCACTCACGCACCGATCGTCCAGTGCCCTGCTAAAGAACTCGCGCGACACTGCCGGAGCGCGCAACCTCAAGCGAATGCTTGGCATCTCCGAGCAGGCAGACGCGGCCCGATCGCCCAGGTCGGTCAAGCTCATCAAGCAGCGAATGAAGAACGGCGGCGGCGGCCACCTGGGCGTGCTCCACCCCAACCACCCGCTGCTCATGAAGAGCGACGAGGAGTGGGAGCAGGAGAACAACAATGACAACAAGAGGGAGACGAACGAAAACGACGAAGACGAGTTCGCGCAGCAGCTCGAGAGCAAGAAGAAGCAGCAGGCCAAGCGGAAGGCACCCGAACAGGAGGAGGCGCTCGACATCGACAATAACGCCGGAAGCGAAGAGGGTCCGGCCAAGAAGAGAAGACGGAAGGAGGAAGCCGCGGACGGTGATGGTGGTGGTGACGGTGATGACGGTGCCCACCACTCCACGATGGACCTCGCAGCGGGCGCACCGCCTCGACTCGCCCGAGGATACCAGCCCGGTGACAGCATCTCGCTGTGATTGTTGTACTTCTTTGGTTCTTTCTTTCACTCATGGCACAACCGCACACGCACGACACACGGCACGGGCTGTGTGGCCCCCGCACACGGGGGTGGCCGGTTATATGGGGGAATGTCGGGGACGCTCACCAGCGAATGGCGCGGCCGCCGAGAAATGAAGGGGAGCCTCAACAACCGGCTGGACACCGGGAGAAAGCTCGCAACACGCGCTCAAACTCTCTTTGTTGCCTTCACTCACCTCACGCCACCGCACAGCTGTGTACGCCCCTCCACAACACTCGCGTGTGGTCGCTTCGTAGTGTGCTTGGCACTTGAAGGGTAGTTTCTGATTTGTGTGCTCCATCCAAACGCAGTCCCTCTCTCGTAAATCACTCCCTATAAATCAACATGTCCGCTTTCGATTGGGCCAACGAATCCGAGGTTCAGGAGGTGCTCGAGCAGATAAGGAAGAGCGACTCCAACACTAAGTGGTACGCCCCCATCCCCATCCGCTACTCGATGGAGTGGCGATCTGTTTCTTTTTTTCCGATCCATTTATTGTGTCCAGGGAGATTTGCTGGGCTACGTAGTACACGTAGTGCACTTAATTGAGAGATGAATGAATTCTTTGTTCTTATGAATGAAATCATTTGGCGCTCGTCCTCACTCGCGAGTGCAGGGCCGTGTTCGGGTATGAGGGTGACAAGACCGTGAAGCTCGTCCAGTCCGGTCCCGGCGGTCTGGAGGACTTCCGCTCGCTGCTCACCGACGACGACATCTTCTACGTCGTCTACTCACTCGAGGTCAAGGACCAGGACGAGGTAGACCCCCCAAACTTCAACCTCGCGCCTCGTTGGTCTCTACTCTACAGCGAGTCCACGCTGACAGTGAGCTGGTGCTGGCAACGATGATGACCACAGGGCGGAGAGGTGTTCTCGGCCACGAAGGTGATCTTCATCACGTGGGTGGGCACCAAGTGCAAGCCCATGCTCAAGGCCAAGTCCTCGCAGCACCGCCTGCCCATCTACAAATACGCTCTGGTGCGCATTGGCCTGCCCCGACCACCACCACCCACCACCACTCCCCACTACTGTGTGTGGGCGGACTCACTGTGCTGACACTCACTGTATGGGTGGCTACAACGAATACAACAGAGGTCGCTCCAGCTGGCCGCCGAGCTCCAGATCCTCGAGCCCGAGGACCTGACCGAGGCCAACATCCTGGGCAAGCTCCGCGGCACCCACGTCGAGGCCGAGGGCGTGCCCGCCGCCTCCACCGGCGGCTCCGGCGGCGCCGCCGCTGCCGCCTCCGCCCCCGCCACCACCTCCTCCAGCTCAGCCCTCCCCTCCACCTCCAGGTACGTACCTCATTGTGCGTGTGCGGTGTGCGTGTGCGGTGCCGTGTGCCGTGCGTGTGCTGACCTCTCCTTCGTCCGCAGGGCTTCGTTTGTGAGGAAGGACCAGTCGACCACCCACGTGGCCTTCAAGGGCACGTCCAACGTCAACACCGACGCCAACCTCAGCTTCGTCAACCCCGACGAGGCCAACGGTCTGCTGGCCGACGTCAGGAACGACGGCACGCCCACCAACTGGGTGCTGTTCGGCCACGAGGGCAAGAGCCTGAAGGTGCTCGGCTCCGGCAGCGGCGGCTACACCGAGCTCGAGGGCTTCTTCCAGGACGAGGAGATCGTCTACGGCGTGCTGGGCCTCGAGGTGGCCGATGAGGACGGCGGCAGCGAGTACAAGACCACCAAGTACATCTTCATCTCGTGGGTCGGCCCCAAGGTGAAGCCCCTCACCAAGGCCCGCTCCTCCCAAGTGCGCGTTGCCCTCTACAAGCATGCCAAGGTACTGCTCACGACACGCATCGCACCGCACCGCACGCAACACGACACGCACCATCACTAACGCCACCATTCTATCGAAACACACAGAACCACCTCCAGCTGGCCGCTGAGATTCAGGCCCTCGAGCGCTCCGAGATCTCGGAGGAGCTCATCAAGCAGAAGCTCAACGCCACCTTCTAAGGGAGACGACGCTCTTTGCTCCCAGACTTCTCTTCTGCCTGTTCTTCTTCTTCTTCTCGTGTAGTTGTAGTACAGCTGTGCCCACAGCAAAATACATGCCTGGCGTGCCAAGCTTGGCACATCTTTTTCTGTGGTGCCGGGCTGCAGTGTCCATTTACCCACCTGCTCGGGAACGTTGTTTGTTGTTGACCGGTACGTAGTTAATGCTCTTTCGTACGACCACCACAAACAACTGCAGAAGAAGCATCAACTAAAGAAGATGAAGCTGCTCCACCTCCTGCTTCTTGGGCTGGCAGGTACTCTGGGATAGGAGGGCCAACCCTCTTACTCTCATTCATCCCTAACGGTCATGATGATTTGTTTAGCTCCGGTTTAGCTCCTATTCACCCCCCTCCCCCCTGCCCATCATACCACCAGGGCTGGTGTGGTGGACGTCGACCTGCCCCGTGTCGGCAGTGAATGTAATTGAGCTGCCCTGCGGCAGGAGCGATGGCGCCCTCCTGTGCGTGGACTCGTTCGCCCAGGCCGTCATCAACACGATGTCCGCCGACAGCGTCATCCTCATCTATCCGGGCACCTACGACTTCACCGAGGTCAACCCCGTCTACGTCCTCGCCTCCGATCGACTCAACATCACGCACGTGCCCTGCCTTCTTTCTTTCGTTCGCGGCCTGATCGTTGCGCTTTGGCTGACCGATGCGCGCCTGCAGTGGCCTGGGCGAGCCGGGCAGCGTGGTGGTGAACGCGTTGGGCCAGGCCCTGCGGCTGTCGGGCGCCGACGTCACGATGACCAACGTCACGGTGCTGGGGGGCCTCGATGTCCGTAACTCGGCCAGTCTGACGCGGGTCATCGTCGACAGCTCCGGCTTCGATCGTAAGCGCCCAAAGCCCACCGCCCCCCCCCAAACCTCAACTCAATCCTTTTTCCCCCGCAGGCCACGGCATCACGGTGACCAACACCACGCTGCTGACCATGGACTCGGTCACCGTCACTTCGGGCGCCACGGCTGGTGCGGCCTCCCGCTCGCTGTGTTTGGTGCTTTGATGAATGTTGGTTCGGCCCCGTCCGCGCTCAAATCATTGGTGTATTCGTTTGTGTCTGAACAGACACGCACGCGATCTACGCCGAGCGGTCGCACATCAGTGCAGTGGGTCCGCTCACCGCCCATGCCTCTGGAGCGGGTACGGACCAGCGGCGCCATCCCTCACGACGCCCAGTCAGCCGCACTGTCTCACTCTCTCCCGCCACATTCCAGGAAGCCACGGCATCTATCAGGTCTCTGGGACCACCAACTGCGCCTCCACCCTCACCATCCGCGCTGACGGTGAGCGCTCCTCCCTCTTCCCTCTGCCCAGCTGTTAGCCACTCCACTCACTCGGGCTTGGTACGGGGCAGAGGGAGACGGCCTTCTGCTGCAGGCGGAGACTGGGTCGACCCAGACGTTCACCGTTGGTGGCTCGCTTGGGATCGAAGCTGGATTGCTGGGTGCGCGCAAAGCCTGACCCTCGCCTCGCCGATCAACGGCGGCTCACCAGAACTCATGGGGGCGGGGCGGGGGTCTGTGTGGTGGGCGACCACACAGCGATCAACACTTCTGGCGTGATCGTCAAGGTCCTCGGTTCTGCCGACGTCGCTTCCAATGGTACCCTGCGCGATGACGCTTCCGTTTCTACCACTGCTCGCTTGAGCCATGCGGCAAAGCTCACAACTCGCACCGTTCGCCCCCCAGGGAGCTACGCCGTCGCGGCCTCCGCCTTTGGCACTGTGGAGTTCCTGAACGAGCGACCCAACGTGTACAACGCCAACAAACGTACACGCTCGAACCGGTCGTGCACCACTTTTCCGCAGCGGTGGCCCCTTTCAATTTACCACCGTGTGTGTGTGTGCGTGTGCGTGCGTGTGCGTGTGCGTGTGCGTGTGTGCGTGTGCGTGTGCGTGTGCGCAGAGTTTCTGATGGCCCAGGACGGCACGATCGTGCTGCGCCATGTACTATCCAACCTCACGTTCGACTGTGACGGAGGCACCATCTCGTCGGTGCCCTACTCCCACGTCGGTACAGCCCCAAGCCTGCACGTCGCACCGCACACGCTCCACAAACGAAGCATGTGACTGACGTGTGCGGCGCTGTTGGCAGTGTCACCCGCGGTGGCGGCGGTGTGTTCGGTCAATCGACTGGCGGTGGTGCTTCTGGGCGACGAGGACGAGGTCGTCATCGCCTCCAACACCGAACAACAGGGTCTCGTCATGTCGCGCGTCGACGTCAACGTGAGCCAGGTCACCTTCGTCAACTTCCAGTACTACGACGACATCGATCCTTCCCCCATCAGCTTCAAGACATGTTTTTTCTATCTCGGTACCACCGCACGCACATGCGCACCGCACACGCCCATCGCACACACTCAAATGTTGTCATGCAGGGCATTCTCTGTCGCCGGGCGTGTTCGATTGTCCGCTGTTTCTGGAGCGTCCCGGGTGGCGGGTGACGTTCCCGGTGACCTACCAGTACCTAACGGGCCTGGGCCGCACCACCGTGCGGGCCGTGAGCGGACCCGAAGTGCAGCCGCCCGCCGAGCCCGTGATCTACTCCAACCAGAGCGCGCTCGTGCCGCTTGCCCTCCAGCTCAACGCCTCCTCGCCCATCCTCGACATCATTCCCTCTTCCACTGGTGCGTGTGCGTGTGCGGTGGTGCGTGTGCGTGTACGCGGTTGCGGTGAACTGACACGACACACGCGGACAGAGTCCAAGGCCAACGTGGCGTTTGGCAACGTACAGGAGGTGACCCCGCTGGGCGAGGTGGTGTGCACGGCCGACATCCAGGTGACGGGCAAGTGGGCGGAGAAGGCCAACTCGTCGTCGAGCGCCTTCCAAACGTTCGGCTTCTCGTCGCCGCTCTTTGCCGGCGCGCAGTCCAACACCACCCGGATCGAGATGGAGTTCACCCTCTTCAAGGCGGCCGACAACGTGACCTACGCACCCTCTTCGTCTTCGTTTTCGTCTTCGTCTTCGTTCTTTAGCAACTACTCGTTCGCGATCGACCCGTCGCTGGCCAAGTTCTCGCTGTCGCTCCTGTCGTGGCCGTGGAGCTCGACCAACAACACGCTGCGGGTGAAGATCAACATCCGGCCGGCCTTCACCGACCACCGCGCCCTGGCCGGCGTCCCGCAGCCGCGCATGACCACCCTCGAGCTGTTGGGCCAGCCCGACGTGCAGACCAACGTGCGCCTCGTCGAATTCGCCTTCAACACCACGCACGAGCTCCCCGTCAACTTCGCCGCCGACCCCAGCGACTCCACCGTCGTGTTGGACTTTCCCTACTTCGGGGCCTACCTCTACTACGACCCAGACTTCTCGCTGCTGGTGGGCCACAGGAAGGAGGAGAGCGGAAGCGGCGGCGGGAGTGGCGACACGGCGCTGGTGGTGGCGGTGTCGGTGGTGGTGCCGGCGGCGGTGCTGTTGGTCCTGGTGGTCTTGGCCGGCGCGACGGCCGTGGCCTGGTGGCGCCGACGACAGAGCGCGGCCAGCTCCCGGGTCATCAGCTTCGACGGCCACGAGGGCGACGAGGCCAGTGAAGCCCTGTGATCCCGGGTCATCAGCTTCGCCGCTGTACAATCATTTCTTTTGGCTTTCGTAAAATTTCCTTGGTTTCTTTTTTGAGCTGACGTCAGCAGGCGCTCTTGCGGAAACAAACTCGATTGTTGCGCACCAAAGAGTGAAAATGGCGGCTGGGAAGGGCGCCGCGGCCTCCTCCCTCAATTTAGACCTCTACATGGAGCAATTGAAGAGGTACGAAGTTAAGACGCTGTCAGAATTGGGCCACTTCTTTCCCGATTAAATGTAGATTAAATGTTTGTTTGGAAATTCTCACACGGCTGTGCAGGGGCGAGGTGTTGCCCGAGCGGACCGTAAAGCAGCTTTGTGACAAGCTCAAGGAACACCTCATCTACGAATCCAACGTGCTCAGCCTCTCATCCCCGCTCACCATCGTTGGCGACATCCACGGGTAGGCCCTGTATTATTTTTTGCATATTATTTATTTTTTGCATTATTTTATTCATTTAATGAATAATTGATTTTTTTTTTTTATTTATCTCATTATTTTATTATTAGCCAATTTTGGGACCTGCTGGAGCTGTTCCGAATAGGCGGCAACCCGCCAGACACCAACTACCTCTTCCTGGGCGACTTTGTCGATCGAGGGTACGTCGTGCGTGCGTGTGCGTGTGTGCGGTGGTGTGTGCGTGTGTGTGCGGTGGTGCGCGCGTGTGCGGTGGCACGACCGCTAACACACACGAGTGTGGGCTGTGCAGGTACTACAGCGTGGAGACGATATCGCTGCTGGTGTGCCTCAAGCTCAAGTACCCCAAGCGCATCAACCTCCTCCGCGGCAACCACGAGTCCCGGCAAATCACCCAGGCACGCCACACGACCCTCTGCACACGCACACACGCACGCGCAACCGCACGCGCCCAATCGCACACGCACACGCACGCGCGCCGCCGCACGTGCGGCTGAATGGTATGACACACATCACAGGTGTACGGGTTCTATGGCGAGTGCATGCGCAAGTACGGCACGGCTAACGTGTGGCGCTACTTCACCGACCTCTTCGACTACCTCACCATCGCCGCCCTCATCGACAACAAGGTCTTCTGCGTCCACGCCGGTATCCTCCCCTTACGCACACGACACACACGACACACACACGACACACGACACACACGACACACACACACGGCACAATGTCGGGGCTGGACGCTGACAATGAATGAATTTTCCAGGTCTGTCGCCGTCGGTGGTGTCGCTGGACCAGATTCGGGTGTTGGACCGGTTCAAGGAGATCCCGCCGGACGGTCCGCTGGCCGATCTCGTGTGGTCCGACCCCGACCCCGACCGGCCCGACTGGCACCCCTCCCAGCGGTACCCTTCGACGCTGCCTGCCCGTTTCTCTGCTCTCCAAACGCGCTTCTGACGGGGCGTGAGCGTGTGCGTGTGCGGTGTTGCATGTGCGACAGTGGTGCCGGGTACACATTCGGGGAGGGTGTGGTGAAGAAGTTTCTGGAGAGCAACGGTCTCAACCACATCGTGCGCTCGCACCAGCTCTGCATGGACGGCTACCAGGTAAATTTGTGGCTGCTCGCCTATCAATTAGGCCTCCGTTGCGCTGTGCTTCTGCTCGAAGGAATGACCAGCTGACGTTGCCGATGACGCAACTGCAGGTGTTGTTCAACGACCAGCTCTCTACGGTGTGGTCGGCGCCAAATTATTGCTACCGCTGTGGCAACGTCGCTTCCATCCTCGAAGTCAACGAACAGCAGGAGAGGGTACGGCATCTCATCCTACCACGTTCGTGTGCGCATGTGGTCTCTTACGCTACGCGTTGGCCCAACCCACGACTACGTGCAGTACTTCAATACGTTCTGCGCCGCCCCCGAAAGCGACAGCAAGACGCCCTCCTACGACACCACCAAGGAGGTTCCCGACTACTTCGTGTGATTCAGGCCTCTCGTCGTCTTCGTCTGGACTGCGCGTGCTTGTGCGTCAGGGAAGTGTGCATGGAGAATGCACGCCGACCTGTAGTAGCAGGCTGCTTGTACCGCTCGTTGTTCAGAACAATGTATTTTTTCTTTTTCATCATCACCACATGACGATGGCGAGCTCATCATGAAGCTACACTGGGTGAGTGTTGGTGCTTCTTCACCAGCGTCGACCCATTGGGCCGTAGTTGCCGGCCTGGCCGGCGGCCCAGGTGTTGAGGAGCTGCTCAAAGTAGGACTTGGTCCGGCTGAAGAAGGCCACGTAGTCCTCCACGACCTCCGGCGGCACCTGCTCGGCCACGTCGCCCCTCTCCTGCTTGTGCTTGAGGTCCCGCACGAGCCGCCCAAAGAACGACTCCATCTCCATCCCCAGGTTCACCTGCGATGATGGCGCGCATGTGCGTGTGCGGTGGCGCGTGTGCGGTTTGATGTTTAGAAGACGACAACACACACCACCGCACGCACACGCGCACGCGTACCTTGTTGGAAATGGGCTGTTTGCCGTGGATGTAGATGACGAGGTGGCTCAGGAGAATGTAGAGGGCCAACTGCATGCAGTCGTAGAGCACGCGGTGCTGGTCCTGCAGCTGGAGGCTGATCTTCTTCAGGGCCTTGTACAGCGTGCGCGTCGCTGCGCTGTCGCCTCGCGACGTGGCCCGGTGGCCCGCGGCGGTGCTGGTGAGCTTGTCGACCAGCGACGCCGTGTAGACAAGCAGCTGGCGGGGCTGGCCCTCGCGCACGACGCCCTCCTTGAGCTCACTAGCGCACACCTTTGCGATGCACGAAAAACGCGTCAGCGCACGCGCACGCGCACCGAACACGCACCACCGCACACGCGCGAATGAAGAGTTGAGGGAGTCAGGGACCTGCAGGATGCCCTTGATGAGCAGGCCGAGGGTGGGTCGCGGGGGCTCGCCAAAGGGCGTGCTGATGCCGCCGAGGCCTCGTGGATTCTCATCCTCCATAAGCATGTCGTCCTCCGCGTGCAAACCGGCCCGCTTCGTGGCAAGAGGCATAGAGGGCGCCTACAGCGGGGGGGGGGGATCATCAGCATGCCGTGCTTGTGTGTCGTGTTGTACCTCGTGTGTGTTTGTGTGTGTGTGTGTTGGTACCTGGAAGAAAAGGTCGGGATCGAAGAGCGGACGATAGGCATCCCAGTCAATGTGCCGCAGTCGTGGGTCATCGCGCGCGGCCGCCAGAAGCGTGGGCGCCAACTGCGGGCCGACGGCGCGCAGGAACGAGAGGCAATTGCGCAGGATGTGATGCATGCGCTGCGCCACCACCAGATAGAACGGCCGCACTTCCGTGGCCTCGCCCTTGGACTTCCGCTGAGCGCCCGCATCCGCCGTCTCCGCCGATTCGGCGCTCGGCTCCTTGTCTTTGCTCCGCCCCGCCGACTCGACGACGATGGGCTGCGCCAGCATCTTCTGCTTCTTCGTAACGGGCTGCGCAAAGACAGAGATCTGCGCCGTGTGTGTGTTAATGGTGACCAAGGGAGGAGACGAGACCTCAAGGGGACATACTTGGCCGCTCTGGAGCGCCACCACCAGGTTGTACACGAGCCCGAGCATGCGGTCCTGGTAGTGGCTCGCGAGCTTGATGCTAAGGAATCGCCACTTCTTCCAGTGCAGCCCCAGCTCGTAGATGAGCGACGCCACTCGTTCGGCCTCGTCGAGTTGGGCCAACGTGTACGGGGCGGTGGGCACGTCGATGCTCCGTGAGACGAGGGCGTTGTGGATCGCCAGGAACTCGATCGCCTGTTCGACCAGCGGCTCGCTGTAGGCCAGCGTTCTGATCATTCCACGTTTGCAATATTGCCCGACGTCAGCGCACCACGCCGTGCAGCACGTGGGTTGTTGGTGTGAGTACCTGGCGATGGCCGTCGTGAGAGTGAGGATGAGGCACCACAGACGATGCCACGTGCTCCGTTTGCCCTGTGGTGACGCGAGACTCGGAAATGAGCGAAGAAACCGCAGTCAACAGTCGAGAGGTGGGTGCAGCGTACATTGGCGTAAGTGACGTGCATCTCGTGGAAAGCGCGGAGGGTGTTGTTGCTCAGCACACGCATGATACCGGCGAGCGCCAACGTCTCGGTCATGATGGGATCGGCGGACATGGACAGCATCAGGTGGATCACCAGCTCGGCCGTCTTTTGCTTGTTTCGCACGATCTGCGACACCTTGGCTGATTCGGTTTCGCTGTTGAGAGCTGCGATCGCCACGGATGTCTCGTTTTCCTCCAGGTGGAGCGATTGGTTCAGAATTTCCACCAGCTTGGCGTACACGCCCAGGTGCTGCAAGTGGTCATACAGCCGCGTCTTGTCTAGAATATCGCACAACGATCAGAACCAAGGGTGCTGTGACACAGCATTGCGTCTGTGCGCGTGCGCGCGTGTGGCCGCCAGGTACCTTTCGTATTGAGAGTAAGCGCTTCCAGAATAGCGATGACCGTGTGATTGAACTCGTGTCGTTGCACCAGCTGGAAGGCCTGCGGCAAGAGTGGCGACACCGCATCTGAGAGTGCCTGCGTCGATTTGCTGATTTTGGAGGGAACACAACGACAGTGAGCTCTCTTCGCTTATCCCCCCCCCCACAGATGACGTTCACGTACTCGCTGTGTTGGGCGCGAAGCAGCACAAGCAGACCACCTAGGAGGGACGCCGTTAACGGAATGTCGATGTCGGACGTGAGGCTACGGCGCAACAGCGCCTCCTTGAGCGCGAGGCCCACGTTGACCACAGGGAACAGCTCGTTGTCACCTGGTGTGCATGCGTACGTGTCAGTTGCACTCCAAAGGCCATGTTGGGCGCCTGCTTCAGCCTCAGCTTCTGCGCTCGTACCCTCCTTCTCCTTGCCCTTGGCACTCGCTTGGCCGCTGTTGGCGCGGGCGTAGTGGTGCTTGAGCAGGAACAGCAGCAGGCTGGCCATTTCCTGCAGTCGCTCGTTGACGATCTTGTCATTTTTGTCCTCGCGCTGCAGTGCCGCAGCCAACTCCTGAATGAGCGACGCCGATGCCTGGGTGGTGATAAGGAATACAGAGCCTTTGAGCCTCCACACATATCTTGTCGTTGTGTACACTTCCAGCGGAGAGGGGAGGTTTGACACGCACCTGAGGCACGGCCACTACTGAAGATGCCGTCTGCTTGAGGCTAGTGATCTCCAAGAATGCCCGCCTGTAGAACAAGAAAAAGTGGAACGATGAGCGAACTGCGGGCCTTGTGTGTATGCGTGTGCGGGAGTACCAGGAGTGAATAAGCTCGTGCTGGACGTGGAGTATGGAGAGCATGTTGTTCACCATATGCACAGCTCGCATGAATTCGTGCGCGTTGAAATCGGATCTCTTGGTCTGTATAACGCAGACAATTGATTGTGTGAGATCAGGCAACTCGGAGGAGAGCAACCAGCGGGGTTATTGTCTATTGTGGCGTACGCTTGCAGGAGTGGCAGGGGCATTGCCGTTCCTCTCCTTGTCGAGGATGTCGGAAAGCTTGTTCTGGAGCAGCGACGCGTTGTAGTAGTAATCTATGCCGTAGTCACGCTCACCCTCTGCGATGGGCAGGAACGCGTCGATCGCTGTCTGAATGGTTTCCAGATCCTGCACGCTGGTCTCGGTTCTTGCCATGGCTCGGCCGGGGGTTGCCGATAGCGACACTGGCATCCCG